GGGCTGGATGGGCCCCAACGGGCCCTTCCTTTGGGTGACTGCAGCGCTGCCCGCATCCCCCCCCCCGGCCAGCGGCCCGCGTGCACCCCTCCCCCCCGCCAGCGGCCCACGTGCACCCCCTCCCCCCCGCCAGCGACACACACACACACACACACACACACAACCCCGCCAGCAGCCCGTGTACCATGGCTAGTCCCTGCTGGGGGTGCCTGGAGTCTGGCCTCCGAATGAGAAGCCGCACAGATTGGAGCGAGCAGGGATTCTGTCTGGGGGTGGGGAGGTGTCACCCTCCCTCCCCCCCAGCATGGAGCACCCTGTTCTCCTGGGATTTGGGGCCGCTGACCCCCCAGGTTTCTGCTCCCCCGGCATGAGTGGAGAGGGGCAGCGGGATACTGACTGAGTGGGAAGGGATACGAGGAGGTGGAGGGGATAGACACTAAACGCTGGATTCGGGATGGGCTATTAAAGGAGGGGGGGCAGGCCTCTGTGCCTGGTGGGGGCGCCCTGGGTAGATGTCTGCACCCCAGGCAGCACAGATGCGGGGTTGCTCAGCAGGGAGAAAGTCGGGGTGCCCATGGAAGCCAGGGAGGGTTTTAGTATCGGGTGGGGGAGGGGTCCCTGGGGGGGGAGCTGACAGTCTCTCTCTTGCAGGGATCACAGCCGGGGGACGTGGGGGTGGGGGGCTCGGCTGGGGGAGGGGTGCCCAGCGGGGGAGCTGACAGTCTCTCTCCTGCAGGGATCACAGCGGGGGGAACATGGCGCTGAGACGGCGTTACGGCTCCTGCAGGGTGTACGGCAGTGCCTGTGATGCCATCCCTGAGCTCACCAAGTAAGCGGGGGACTGGAGGGGGACCCAGGCCTCCCCTGCCCTCTAGGGCGAGCGGGCAGCAGGGTCTCCATAGCCCTGCTCCGTCGCCACCTTCTCTCCTGCGTCTGCGCCTCGTGATGGTGACGGGGGCACACGTCCCCTGGGAGCTGGGCTGAGCCCTGCCAAACTCATGTCACGTGTGGGCCGATCTGTGGCCAGTGCATGGATGGTCACTGCTGGCCCAGCCTTCGCGGCTGATGCCTGTCCGCAGGGCGGGCCGGGGGCTGGGACGCACCGCCTGAATCCACGCCCCGGTCAGGGGATCAGCGGGGGCCGCCTGGCTCCAGATCCAGACCAATCTATCTGGTGGCGGAGTATCCTCCCAGGGCCCTAACAGCCTGTCCTGCCCCCCGCGCAGCCCCCTCTCGGATAAGGAGACCGTCACCGTGGGACAGCTGTGCTTCAAGGCTCTCTTCACCCCGGGGCACACCGTGGGGCACATGGTCTACCTGCTGGACGGGAAGCCCTTCGAGGGGCCGGCCTGCCTCTTCTCTGGAGACCTCCTCTTCCTCTCAGGCTGCGGTGAGCTTGGCTTCTTTGGTTCTGTTTCTAGTATCTGCCCTGCGGGGGGGAGGCACAGCTCATTGGTGGGGTTGGGCCCCCCCTGCTCCCTCCCTTCACTCTTCAGGATGAATGAGATGCAGCTGGCACGAGCTCAGGCTTCCCTAAGCTGCCCTGTTCCTCCCCAGAGGGGGCTGCATTTTAGTGTTGGGGGAAAGGAGGGGCTGGGGCATTGCTTTTGTCAGGGGCTAACAGCCCCACTAACCGGCCCTTAGTTGGTCTTTGGTTCCTTCCCCCGACCTCCCTCTGCCCCACCCCAACTCTGGGGATAGTGGGGTCTGCGCCCGGTTGGCAGCATCGGGGGCAGAACTCAGGTCCTCCAGCTCCAGAGGCTCCTCTCTCTGCCCCTGGATCTCGATGGGGCACACCCCCTCCGCAGCAGCAGTAGTGAGTCCGTTATCCTCTGGGGGCTAAGGCCGCTCACAGACGCTTTGCGGAGCAAGGTGTGAGGGGGGTGGGGCGGTTTGGGCACTGCTGGCATGGTGGTGGGTGCGGGCTGCAAGACCCTGCCGTGGGGCATGGGTCGTAAACACCCCACTTGGGGGAGGGGCGAGCGAAACGGCTCCTCCTGGGAGGAGGGGGTTGGCCCTCGGCCTGCTGTCCCAGCGACCCAGGGAGGCCGGAGCCCACAGGGTGGAGACCGCATAACATGCTCCCCCCATGGTCTTGCAGGGCGGATATTCGAGGGGACGCCGGAAACCATGCTGGCCTCGCTGGACACCGCTGCGGACCTGGCAGAGGACACGCTGCTCTGGCCAGGTGAGCGCCCCCTGCCAGGCAGCAGGCTCGAGGGTGGGGTTTGTGGGGCAGGGAAAGGGGACCAGCAGGGGCTGGGGAAATCCCCCGATCTCCACAGGGGCCGAGCTGCAGGGGTAGGGGCGCAGCCTGCATTTCAGTGCCACGAGTCAGGGGGGCCTCAGCCCCGCTGGGGGTCGCCGACCTAGATCTGCAAGGAGGGGAAGGAATCCCTGCTCCTGGGCCTGTGCCGACATGGAGCCAAAGCAAGGCCGGGGTCTCGCCCGTGAGCTGAATTTGTCCGCAGCCCATGGGCAGGTTAGGGGCAAGGCTGGGGTAGACCCGGGAGGGGAGCTGCTGGGTGGGACTGAGGGCACTGCCCCTCTCACTTTTTACATCCGTGTGTGGAATGAATGGTTTGGGGTGCAGGCTACCCTCAGGCTGCAGTGGGGAGAGAGGACTCCCCCCAGCCCTCTCTCGCCACAGCAGCTCGGGGCCGGGGGAGAGGCGCCTTGCCGTGGGGACGGCAGCTCCGGCAGGCCTGGGCCGAGCCAAGGGTGCAGCTCCTCTCCCCCGGCCGCGGCAAGTCCGTCCTGGAGCCGGCAGGGAGCGACGCCTCTTCCCGCCACAGCCCTGAGCCCCTGCACGGGGCTTAATAGACAGCTGCGTGGCCACGCAGCTTAGAGGGACCTTAGATTGAGGGGCATCGCTGCAGACGCTGCCGCAGTCTGACCTCCCTGCTCTGTCCAGAGATCTGGTTTCCTTGGCTCCCTGGACCTCACCCGTCTCTAGCCCCTTCCGTGTGAGGATCTACCGGCCCCTTGCCTGCCCCTCCCAGCCATCCTAGGGGGCAGCAGGTGATGTTCCCATAGGGCAGAAGCGCGGAGAGGGGCCGGCACAGATGGGAATAGAACCCAGGCGGCCTGGATCCCTACCGGGTGCTTGGCTCGCCAGTCCGTGCCCTTAACCGGAGCCCCAGCCCGTGCCAGCCCCCTCTCCCCTGGTCACTGCCCTCTCTGCTCCCCAAGGACACGAGTATGCCCTGGACTGCCTGACGTTTGCCAGCCTGCTGGAGCTGGAGAACCCCGTGCTGGAGCAGAAGCTGCAGTGGGCGAATCAGCAGCGGCTGGAGAAGAGGAGCACGGTGAGTGTCGGTGGGGGAGTGCTCCCGGGCCTTGGCATCCGGGGCAGGTGCCACTCGCGCGGGGCCCAGTTCCTCTTTCCTGGCTCTTCCCCCCGCTCTCTCTCCCTACGCCGGGGCTGGGAAACACCTGGCCGGAAGTAGTGCCGCTTCCCCTGCGGCTCGGATCCAGCTGCTTCCTAGCCTGGCAGTGGGGGGAGGGGCTGGTTTGAATTCACACCCGCCCCGCAGGAACCCAGAGGGCATCGGGTGCTGGGCCAAGGCCAGGAGATTGGCTGGCTGGGGTCAGCTGTATGTTGCAGTATATTAATCTGTCACCTCGCAGCTGGTAGCCTGGAAAATCCAGCATTGGAAGGGTTACGCTTGGCAAGCAGGGGCCAGGTCCCTTTGCCCCCAATCTGGGTCCCTGCCTCATTTCCCCAAAGGCCCCCCACCCGCAACCTGCTCCCCATCCAGCTGCAGCTCGCTGGATAGCCATAACCCGTGGGGCACAGGCCACAGCAGTGTCCACTCCCTCGGCACCCCTAAACACCCTCCCTGCACCCCATTAATGTGTCTTGACCCTTGACCTAGTCTCTGCACTGGGTATCTGAGTAATTCCATTCCACCTTCCTAAATTCCCCTCGCAGGGTTTCATCTGGACTTGGGGTCTGTCTTGGCTTCCCATCCTAACCCTGCTGGAGCATGCTGCTGCTATATATGGCTGCCATACCCCACCCCAGAGGCAGCCGCATTTCAGTAATCTCTTGGGTTTATACGGCGCCTGGCACAATGGGGTGCTGGGGGTTACCACAATCCAGATAGTAAAGGAAAATAGCTTCAAAACTGGTTTGCAGGAGCCGGTCTCTAGTAAAAGGAGCTGGAGAAGTTGTGGATTTGGGATGCAGACAGGCTGGGCTCAGCGCAGGCTCGGGGGGATTAGAACATGCAGGGTGCGTTGCCTCTTTCATGCTGGGATCTGTGGTCTCAACGGGCTGCGGCTCTGCGCTGGGCACGTTGGTGGCCGCGCCCCGCTCTGCGCGTGCTGACCTGGCCCCGTCTCTCCCTGCCCCAGTGCCCCTCCACCATCGGCGAGGAGAAGGAATACAATCCGTTCCTGCGGACCCACTGCTGGGAGCTGCACCGGGCCCTGGGGCTGCAGCGGCTGAGAGGCGAGGACTGGGACAGCTTCCGGGCGCGGGTGTTGAAGGAGGTGCGGCACCGAAAGGACCTCTACAAAGCCAACTAGCCCCCTGGCCGGGCGGCGGGAGGGCTCTGCCCCGTGAGCAGCCTCCCAAAGGAGGGGGACCGTCCCTGTTGGGGGGAGTGTCTGGCTGGGAAAGGGTCTCACCCCCTCATGGCGATGGGGCGGATCAGGGAGCCGGAAACACCTCCGCCTCATCCCTGTGGATAAAGACAGGTTCAGCTGGCATCCCCCCTTCCCCCCCACTCCGCCCTGCTGGCTCAAGAGGGCTCGTCTCCGGACAAAGTGGATCCTTGCCGGTGGAAAGAAGGGGGGGGGGGTAAAATCCAGGATGACACCCCCCCCCAAACCCACCCCCAGGAGGCGTCTGAATCCACATGGTGCCAGTTTGCTGCTGACCTTTGATTGCCGCTGGCTGCTGGGGATGAATTCCCCCAAGATAGGGGGCAGGGAGGGGGGCGTTGGCGAGGGTGCCTGGCAAAGCTTTTCCAGGGAGCAGGGCTGTGACCTTGTTTCTCTGGGGGACTGGACTTTGGCTGGTGGAAGCGCAGGCCCGGTGCGGCTCGGGGGTTAGCCCGTGAAGCGCACATTGTTTCTACACTACAGGCCCGCAGATCCCATTACACAATGCCCGGTCCTGAGCCCAGCTGGGCGCCTGGCGTGTGGGGAGCGGTGCTGCCGAGGTGGCATCGGGGACAGCGCCGCGACTGGTCTGTCGGTTCTTTCCTCTGCGTCCTGCCCCAGCCGGCCCGTTTGTGGGGCACCGCTGACTCCTCTGTGAGCACACGCCCACCCCCCGCCCGCTGGCTGGGAGAGACCAGGACGAACCACCACAAAAGCACCAGCTGGGGGCGCCACTGCACGGAACCCAGCTCTGATAGTGGACGGGAAAACCCCCCTGGCGCTGAACGTTCCTGGCGGCCGCCTCCCCCCTGCGGCACGGGGACGGGCGCAGCTGCGCTGGCAGGGATCAAGGATGAAGCTGTGCTGTTGGCCGGCCTGCCTCCCTGGCTGGCTGGTGGCTTCCCGTCAGGTCTCTGCGTTAACTTTGGTGATTGTTCCCTGATTGAAGCAAGACCTGCTCCATGCAACTGGGAGCAGGGTGTGTGTGTGTGTGTGTGTTTGTTTGGGGGGTTACGTCCTAAAGGATTTTCAGGTCTCCACTCCAAGCACAAGGATCCTATGAGTTTATAGGGCAGGTCTCCAGCCTGGTGATGGTTCTACATCCGCCCCCTTTGCTCTGGAGGTCGTTGGGGGCTGGGAGAAACAGACCCAGCCTGCTTTCTCCCCCTGACCGCGCCTGTTTGCCCTTCTCGGCAGACGAGAACGCAGGGGTGTCCCGCCCCATTGGAAGGCAGCGAATTTTCACCCCCCCATGCAGAAACCTGTAACCTGTGAAATTCACTGCTGGGAGATCGACGTGAAATCAAGCGCTTAGCAGGATGGATAGCCAAGGGTCAGCCGTTCCTAGGGCTGAGAACAGCCACAATTACACGGGGTAGGGTACAAAAGAAGGGGCACAACACCGGGTATCTCAGGCCCTGAGTCAACCTCAAGCGTCCGGTGTTAGGGGAAACTTCCTCCAAGTGCACGTTGGCCCCAAACTGTCCACTGCGGGGTCCTTCCATCTTCTGAAGCAGCTGGTCCCGGGTACTGTTAGAGACAGGAGGATACCGGGCTTGGGCAACCAGAGCAGAAACTAGTTTGGACGCACTGTTGAGATGAAATCTTGGGCCCGTTGGGAGTCTGTTACCATTGGCTTCAGTGGGGCCAGGCCTCTTTGGTCCCCTTGTTTATAATGGACCCCAAAAAGGGATCCGTCTAGTAAACCAAACTTCTTCAGAGGGGAAGGGCCAGAAAAGAACCAAGGGAATCTAACCCGTGATGTTCTCATCCGTATAAATGTCTGACCCTGTATTGAATCCTGTGAAGCTCTTGCTCTCGATGCTGTCTTGTGGCCATGAGTTCCACCGGCTACAGAGAGCAAAGGAAATACTCTTTCGCACAATGCACCGGGTTACATTTGCTGCCCTTCACTTTCAGTGAACGCTGTGTATAACAGGATGCACAAGGTTTTTGTATTAGGAGAGAGCAGAGGATGTTCAACAAATGGGGTGGGGTGTATTCACCCATCATCCAGGGAACAAAGAGCACCCCCCCCCCCCGTTCAGCATTTGGATAGACAGGCCTGAGGCCTAGTTATAAACAGCTTTGTCCCCAGGGAGGCTGCTGTGGGGGGATAAATGTTTGCAGACCCATACTTTTAAGTGTGCAGGGCATGATGGAGGCTGGTTAATTGCAGGGGGTGTTTCTGTGGAGAGGGGCTGGAAAAGAGGAGTATAAGGTGAATTTAGTGGGTTACACTGACGTCGTTACTTTGCAAAGGTGTGTGTGTGTGTGTGTGTGTGTGTGTGTGTGTGTGTGTGTGTGTGTGAGTGTGAAATCTGTGCAGCCACAGAATTGTGACACTGGCGTGTGCGTGATACACAATCCCTGGGAGATGCGACTGCCCCCTGGGTGGGGCCGGGGATGCTGCAAGAGCCTTGTCCTGAACATAGAAGGGGTCCTGGGTCTCTGTCCCGCTGCTGCAGTCTCAGACCTCCCCTTCGGCCATTCTGTCTAGCCAAGCAAAGGTGCTGTTAAGGCCCATATGGGAATGAAACAGCTGGGCTGGATGGGAGTGGGGCATTCCCAGCCTCTGCTCTGCGCTACAGGGAAGGCCACATCTCAAGCAGCTCTGGGTTTGAGGAGGAGCTGGCTAAGTGGCAGCCCAGCCTCAGATCGGAAGGCCCTAGATACGCTCCACCGCACGGTAGGGGCTGGAGAGGCAACGCCAGCGGGTGAGGGGACAGGACGTTTGGGGGCTTGGAGGTTCTTGTTAATGTCAAATGTTACCAATAGCTCACTTTACCTGTCTGCGACAGGGGCGGCAGCTGAATCAGGTGAGTAGAGGACAGAGAGCCAGGACTCCTGGGTTCTATTCCTGGCTCTGGGAGGGGAGTGGGGTCTAGTGGTTGGAGGAGAGGGGTTGGGGGACTGGGAGTCAGGACTCCTGGCTTCTATTCCTGTCTTTACCGTTGATTCCCTTTTGGGCTAGTCACTTCCCACTTCAGTACCTCAGTTTCCCCCCCTCTGAAATCACAATCCTACTTCCCAGTCTCCCAGGGGCGTCACGCATTCGTGACTCCGTGTGAAGGGTTTTGGAGACGTGAACGCCCTACACGCTGTAAGCACTAAGCGGAGCTGGGTTTCTCCAGGGGGTTCTGGTGACTTTACCTTGGCTCTCAGGGTTTATATTGTTACCAAAACTCCCTTGATTAAAAATGCAGCCGCATCGGGGAGGAAAACGTGCTCTAGGGGCTAGAGCACAGGACAGCCGGGTTCCATTCCCAGCTCTTGCTGGGTGACCTTGGACAGGTTGCAGCACTATGTGCCTCAGTTTCCCCATCTGTGAAAGAGGGCGAATACCTGCCTGACCGTGGTTGTGGGGCTCCCTGTTGTCTGTAAAGCGCCCAGAGGCTGCTGGCTGGGCCGTGCCGCAGAAGCACAGCGTTAGAGATGGTACACTAGGTCGGGATTTATTCCATCTGGTTTTTTTCCCCCCCTCCCTTTCTCTTACCGTTGGAAATAGATCGCCACTAACGATTCCAAACTGTGAGGCTTTAGCTGAGCCAGGCAGCACTGGAGGCAGTGGGTGTGGAGTAGGGCGCTCGGAGATGGGCTGGGAGCATGAAGCCTCTTGTATTCAGTGTTCTGTGTTCGCTGTGGATTGTAAAAATGCCAATAAATCAGCCCTTTGGTTTTACTGTTTTTTAGTGCGATGGGCCTGTCGAGAGACAGAGAACTTTGTGCTCATGACAGCAAGGGAGTAATAGCTCTGGCGTAAAGCAGGCCCGGCCTGGGAAACCTCCCAGCACAGCTGTGCCAATGCATCTCAGTGCCAGCCCCCAACCTGCGCCTGCTATTGGTGTCACAGATTCCCTGGTCTGCGGACCCACTCAGTCCTAGCCTGGGGCATCTCCATTACTCTCCTCTGCCTCTCCCGACGTGAGGCTGCCAGTCATGCTGAAGTGGAGTGTCGGGGGGGAGTGTGTTCCTATGGCCAGACTCCCCATTGGGATGATCCCATCAAGTTGAACAGAGGAATTGAGCAGAGAATTCCAGCCCATGCTCTCCAATTCTGTAGAGTGGGAGGGATCGCTCAGTGGTTTGAGCATTGGCCTGCTAAACCCAGGGTTGTGAGTTCAATCCTTGAGGGGGCCATTTAGGGATCTGGGGCAAAAATCTGGGGATTGGTCCTGCTTTGAGCAGGGGGTGGGACTAGATGACCTCCTGAGGTCCCTGTTATTCTATGATTCTATAAGCCGGGCTCTGGCCTAGGCTATAGGACTGCAGCCTACCTTCTAGCCCCCTCTGGGCTTCACCCCCCCTTGAATCCCATCTGGTTTTCCTGTATGCCCAGTCTGAGGCCAGCACATTCGCTTCACTGGTGCCTTACAGCAGGGGCCGATTCCTGAGCTCCAGAGAGAAAAGGTGAGTTTAACCCCTACACTCTGCTCCCCCCTTCCCTCCCTCTTCCCCAGAAGCTGCATGCATTGATTGAATGAGAAATAGCAGAAACGCAGGCAAAGCCCGTTCTCCAGGGTCCTTTAACGAAGCACCTGCCCCTGGAACCAGCGGGTTGCTGGATCTTCCAGCTTGGGATCGATATTCCAACGTCCTGCTCCTTCTACCCAGCCTTCATGCAACTTCACTGGCCTCTGCCTGTCCCTGCGGATCACCCAGGCCTGTTTTCTGAGAGGTGGTGAAAGGGGCTCTCTCTCTACAGGGAGCCGATATCCAGGGGAGGGGGATCCTTCACCCCCGCCAATGCCCCGGTGGGAAAACTCCTTCCCGGTGCCTGTCATCGACGTTCTCCCAGCTGGCTGGGCTCCGTGATCTAACCGAGCCAGCCGTGCCGCAGGGCAGGGGTTAGCATGGGGTCTTCAGCATTCTCTCTCCCTCTGGTGCGGGGCTGGGCGGGATCCCAGGGTAAGGGGGGCAGACCCACAGGGGCTGAGGGTGCAGGGTGGGAGGGATCTCCAGCTGGCAGTGCACAGGGGGGGCAGAGCGGAGGGGCACAAAGCCCAGAGATGAGCCACAGGCCAGGGCAGATTTGTGCAGGACGGTGAGGAGGCCACACAAGCACTGGGGGCAGCCAGCGGCGGGGTGGGACGCGGGGGCAGAGCAGAGAAGGGGGGAAGATGGTTGCGGTGGGCTGGTGATTCTGGTGGCATCCAATGCCCCTTGGTCCCCCAGGCTGGAAGGGGGAAGGGGGGGGTGGGCTCCAGCTGGTCCCTTTGGCCTGCGTTCCAGGGGAGGTGAGCACCTGCAGCGCCCGTTAGCATCAATGGGGGTTGGGTTGCTAGTGTTCTGCTCCCTGCAGAGAGCCAGGGCCATGAATGAGCCAGGCAGACCAGCCTCCCCAATCCCACGGGGGCTGAGGGAAATTGACACACACACACACACACCCCGACCTCGCTGGATCTGTGCAGTGGACCCACGACCTTCGCCTTCCGTGGCTGTTTAAAATCCAGCCCCTTTAACCGCCGTGAAATTCCATCCGCCGGGAAAGTCGGCCAGGTAACTGGCCCCTGGATCCTGTCTAGACAACTCCCTGCCAGGCTCCAGTGGGGCTAGAGATGTCCCCGGACTCCACTCCCAGGGGTCAGGCTCTGGGCTTCTGCCCTTTGGCCTGTAGCCGCCTGCACAGAGCTGCGGCGCGTGTATCTTCAATCCCAGGTGTGTCTGGCGGCCCCGGCCCGACCTAACCGGCAACTCTGACCCCACAGAGGCTGCCTCTCCCGGTTAGCCCGGCGTGGGGGATCCCGCCTGTGGCACAACCGTTGTTGTGTTATTGTTTAACTGCCAGCAGGTAGAGACCTGCCCAAAGGTGAGCGCGGGCCAGCACAGGTCTGGGTAGTGACCAGACAACGGGGATGAAACAACTGAGGAAGTAGGAGGGGTGGGAGTAGGTGTGTGTAGACTGAGAACGGAGATCACCCCCTGCCTCGCCAGGACCAGCTGCCAAGGCTCTGGGGGCGTCGTGCCAGCCGTGAGGCTCGGGGGCTTTGGCGGAGAAGGCTGCGGCTGTCTGACTTGGGGGATGGAGTTTGTGCCATGCACAAGGGGCAGCTTGGGAGATGGCTGGGAGAGCTCATGGAGAAGGGGACAAGGGGTCACTCGAGGCTGGCACGGGGGGCAGAGCAGAGACGAGGATAATGTAGCTGATGGGTGTGGCAGGGCACCGTCAGGCAGGGCCTTGCAGAGGCAGCAAGTTGTAGCTGATGCAATGGAGAAGGGGGAACAGCGGGAAAGGGGTCTTGACAGCTGCATCTTGCATGGATTTGGGGGTGAGGGTGCAGCAGCCAAGCCACCTATTCCCCAGTGTCGGAGGTTCTCGGAAGTCGCAAGGCTGGTGTTCCTCGGCTCTGGGCGAGGTGGGGAGGCAGAGGCCTCCGAATTGGCTCTGCCTGGCATCCCCACAGCTGGAGTAAACTTCGAACAATCGACTTGGCCGCGTGCCGCGCCTTGGGGGAGGGGGCGTTGGGTTCGTCTCAGCCAAAAGCAGCGTATATCCACCAGCACAGCGCCCCCCTAGCCCCCTGCTTGGGGTCACCCCCTGCTCAGCCCCACACATCCCTCCCTGGAGCACAGCCCCCACCCCTCGGTACCAGGCCGGGGTATTAGAATCGTCACAGGCCTGGGGAGGAGAGCGCCCCCTGCTGACTCACAGGTCTCATTCGCTGCCATGTACCGTGGGTTTTCCCCTGGGAGTCTCCCATCCCAGTACTGATCAGCCCAGACCCGGTCTAGCGTCGCCCTCACGTCTCTTGCCGGTTGTTTACAGCCTAATTGCGGAATCGTGGAAATGTGGTTTTGTTTTTAATGGTGCTGAAGAAGCAACTCCCCTGTGCTAAGCTCCCCACCCGAATGGCTCTCTCTTGCGAAGGGGAGTCATTGCCCGGAGCGCTGGGGAAGGCGTCCAGGTCTCCCAGTGGATTCTCCCAAAGGGTAAGGCCCTTGCAGGGGGCTAGACCATGCTTGGCATCGGGGGGCCGAAAGGATCAAGAGCACGGTGCAGCAGAACAAAGGCGGCAGGCGGGCGGGATTGGTGCAATGTGTCCAGCGAGGAACAAAGGCTGCAGCCAGACGTACAGGATGGGGGGCTCTATCCTGGGAAGCAGAGACTGAAAAGGACCTGGGGGGTGCGGGTCGTGGTGGATAATCAGCTGAACACGAGCTCCCAGGGCAATGCTGTTGCCAAGGGGCCTAACGCGAGCCTGGGACGGATACCCGGGAAGCGCGGGTAGGAGAGAGGTTATTTTATCTCTGGATTCGGCTCTGGTGCGACTGCTGCTGGGATCCTGTGTCCAGTTCTGGGGTCTGCAATTCAAGAAGGATGTAGATAAATTCGAGAGGGGTCAGAGAAGAGCCATGAGAATCATTGAAAGGGCTGGAAAACCTGCCTTGGAGTGAGAGACTCCAAGGGACCAAGCTGTGTGTAGCTGAGCAAAGGGAAGGTTAAGGGGTGTCTTGATCCCAGTCTAAAAGTACCCATAGGGGGAACAAATATTTGACAGTGCGCTCTCCCGTCTAGCAGAGGAAGGTCTAACACGATCCAATGGCTGGAAGGTGAAGCTAGACAAATTCAGACTGAAAATAAGACGTCAATTTTTAACAGTGAGCGTAATTAACCATCGGAACAATTCACTGAGGGAGGGGCATGGCGGATTCGCCATCACTGGCAGTTTTAAAATCAAGATGGGATGTTTTCTCAAACAGATGTTCTAGGGGACGGTTCCTGCTGGCCTTGGAATCTCTGAATCTGTTCTGCGGGTCCCTCCCTCCCATTCACGGGGAGCGGCTTCCCCCTTGTGACGCTCCCCTCTCCCTGCAGCCTCTTGAGCGCCGGCTCTGCTAGGATGACTGCAGGGTGGACTGAGGCCGCCGTCTGCCTCCCTGGGGTGTCCCAAGGCTGA